GTTCATAGAGTTGGAAGAATTTAAATTACAAGATTTGATTCACTTTAGAACTGCTCAGATTATGTTCAGGGCATCAAAAAACTCTCTGCCTCCAAATGTTCAGAATTTATTTCGTGACAGAGACGCGCATCATAGTCATAGACTAAGAGGAAATAAAAATGTATACTTGCCTAAATTTTGGACCACTTTAAAGTCAATGTCTGTCTCAGTGCGAGGAGTTTCTCTATGGAATACCATAGAAGGATTAACTTAAAAATAGTGCAAATCTGACTCAATTTAAAGCTTTGTTTAAAAAAGATGTACTAAAGAAATACAAGGAGGAAAGAGAGTGATGCCCTCAGCACAGAGCGAGTGATGGCAGAGAGGGGTGGGGTCAGAGTGTTCGGGCCTGTGTGTGTGTGTATGCGCATGGGTTGTTTTTATATATATATATATATATATATATATATATATATATATATATATATATATATATTAGTGCTGTCCAACGATTAAAATATTTAATCGCGATTAATCGCATGAATTTCATAGTTAACTCGCGATTAATCGCAAATTAGTCACACATTTGTATCTATTCTTTATGTCCCTTGAATTATCATTTTAATACTACTAAAAAGTGAATAGGCGTGCTGTGTGCAATTGCTTTTTTAAATATTTTGTAAATTTGTTCATGTAAATACTCTATGCTGTTTCTCTGTTTACTTTCGGTATATCTATGACTGTATACTGTTTGCTTGTATTGCCTTTTTTATTAACCCCTCCCCCCCATCTCCCACTTCATGTCCCCCCCCCCTTCTGGGTTTCTTCTTTGGCCCCCTGTATCTCCAACTACATATTGTTTGTAATCTCTGTCTACAATATATCTGAACTAGTCCTTTTCTTTGTTTCTATTTTTTTTCTGTATATGTGTTTGTCTGCAATAAAAAGCAAAAAAAAAAAAAAAAAACATTTTTTTTTTTTTTATTGCGCGATAAAAAAATGACGCCGTTAATATTGATTTGCGTTAACGCGTTAATAACGCGATATTTTGGACAGCACTAATATATATATGTATATATACAGTGCCTTGCAAAAGTATTCGACACCCTTGAACCTTTCAACATTTTGCCACATTTCAGGCTTCAAACATAAAGATAAACAATTTTAATTTTTTGTCATGAATCAACAACAAGTGGGACACAATCGTGAAGTGGAACGAAATTTATTGGATAATTTAAACTTTTTTAACAAATAAAAAACTGAAAAGTGGGGCGTGCAATATTATTCGGCCCCTTTACTTTCAGTGCAGCAAACTCACTCCAGAAATTCAGTGAGGATCTTTGAATGATCTAACCTTGCCTGCAAGCTGAATTCTTGCGGTATTTGTGAGTTCACAAACACTCGAGAATACATCTTGTACCGCTCCCGCTTACACTTTTCGAGTCGAACCACTGGGTGTGCGAGCCAATCACGCGCCAGTCTGGGGGTTTAGGGCGGGATATCCGGGTTTGACGAAAGCAAGAAGTGCCGGGCCGAAGCAAAACAAACATGGCTACGCAGGAGGACGGACGCAAAGTCAGTTTTAGCAGAATCTCCAATTTCTTTTTTGAAAGATGAACAGCGAGAGGCGCTTTGTACATTTCTGGATGGCAACCTTGGTAGGCGGGCACACAGCGTCACTTCGCCCAATCAGCTTCAAGTATTCTGCTGCTTACCTCTCCTTTCCCCGAAAGGATTCTCCGGGAGAAATCCCAGATTGATATCGCGGAGAACGCGTTAGAGTTCTACACAATCATCAATCTGGCTCTTGCCAGGTTATGAATGATCCAATGTTGTCCTAAATGACTGATGATGATAAATAGAATGCACCTGTGTGTAATCAAGTCTCCGTATAAATGCACCTGCTCTTTGATAGTCTCAGGGCTCTGTTTAAAGCGCAGAGAGAACCATGAAGACAAAAGGAACACACCAGGCAGGTCCGAGATACTGTTGTGGAGAAGTTTAAAGCCGGATTTGGATACAAAAAGATTTCCCAAGCTTTAAACATCTAAAGGAGCACTGTGCAAGCAATTATATTGAAATGGAAGGAGTATCAGACCACTGCAAATCTACCAAGACCCGGCCCGTCCCTCCAAACTTTCATCTCAAACAAGGAGAAGACTGATCAGAGATGCAGCCAAGAGGCCCATGATCACTCTGGATGAACTGCAGATAACTACAGCTGAGATGGGAGAGTCTGTCCATAGGACAACAATTAGTCGTGCACTGCACAAATCTGGCTTTATGGAAGAGTGGCAAGAAGAAAGCCATTTCTCAAAGATATCCATAAAAAATCTTGTTTAAAGTTTGCCACAAGCCACCTGGGAGACACACCAAACATGTGGAAGAAGGTGCTCTGGTCAGATGAAACCAAAATCAAACTTTTTGACCACAATGCAAAACGATATGTTTGGCGTAAAAGCAACACAGCTCATCACCCTGAACACACCATCCCCACTGTCAAACATGGTGGTGGCAGCATCATGGTTTGGGCCTGCTTTTCTTCAGCAGGGACAGGGAAGATGGCTAAAATTGATGGGAAGAAGGATGGAGCCAAATACAGGACCATTCTGGAAGAAAACCTGTTGGAGTCTGCAAAAGACCTGAGACTGGGACGGAGATTTATCTCCCAACAGGACAATGATCCAAAACATAAAGCCAAATCTACAATGGAATGGTTCACAAATAGACGTATCCAGGTGTTAGAATGGCCAAGTCAAAGTCCAGACCTGAATCCAATCAAGAATCTGTGGAAAGAGCTGAAGACTGCTGTTCACAAACGCTCTCCATCCAACCTCACTGAGCTCGAGCTGTTTTGCAAGGAAGAATGGGCAAGAATTCCAGTCTCTCGATGTGCAAAACTGATAGAGACATACCCCAAGCGACTTGCAGCTGTAATTGCAGCAAAAGGTGGCGCTACAAAATATTAGCGCAAGGGGCCGAATAATATTGCACGCCCCACTTCAGTTTATTTGTTAAAGTTTAAATTATCCAATAAATTTCGTTCCACTTCACGATTGTGTCCCACTTGTTGTTGATTCTTGACAAAAAATTTAATTTTTATATCTTTATGTTTGAATTCTGAAATGTGGCGAAATGTTGAAGGGTTGAAGGGGGCCGAATACTTTCGCAAGGCACTGTGTATGTAATATATATATATATATATATATATATACATATATATATATATATATATATAAAATAAAAAAAATTGTCCACTCACCTTTGGCCCTCCGCGGGCGGTTATCCCTCTCTAAGCTTGGGTCCTCTACCAGAGGCCTGGGAGCTTGAGGGTTCTGCGCAGTATCTTTGCTGTTCCTAGCACTGCACATTTCTGGACCGAGATGTCCGAGGTTGTTCCGGGGATCCGCTGTAACCACTCATCTAGCTTCGGGGTCACTGCCCCGAGTGCACCGATCACCACGGGCACTACTGTCACCTTTACCCTCCAGGCCCTCTCCAGCTCCTCTCTGAGACCTTGGTATTTCTCAAGCTTTTCATGTTCTTTTTTCCGGATGTTACCATCGCTTGGAAATATATATATATATATATATATTATTTGTTGTTTTCCATTGGTGGTAGTATCGTATTGAAATTCTTGGCAAAATGTACAGTAATATTCTTGTATACCATTGGTGGTAGTGTTGTATTGACAGTAGTACTTTGTAAAGTGATTTTTTGATTATTTTGATGGGTGTTGTGTGGGTGAGAGGGTTGGGCTAAAATAAGCATAGTGCTTCATCCAACCCCTTTTCAAACCTTGAACATATGTGTCTGAACATTTTTCAAATGTGTCTTCTGTGCAGGTTTTGAAATAAATAAATAAATAAAAAAATTATTTATCCCCGTAGCCATAGGGCAATTCATCCTCTGCATTTCACCCATCCTAAGGCCACTAAGGCTTGCATCAGGAAAACTTTTCAACAGAGAATATTCAGACTTTGTCCGGCAGAAAGGCTGTAATGTGAGAGATTCCATTTAAAAAACACAATACTGAAGTCATGTTGTGAATGAAAGTGAATGAAAATATTTCAGAGGTTCTGATCTTTATTGGCCCATTTTGTCTGAGCTGAAGTTGGCTGGATAACACTTACCTTTGAGATCTCAGTGACACAGACACAAGCCTGAAGCTTGGACCATAGACGGTTGTTTGGACGCGGTTGAAAAGAGAGGAAAATGACAACGTGACATTTGTGACAGCATGCAATACGGACCAAACCAATTCCCGAGTGTGGGGGTGTAAGGTCTGTAACTCCATCCTGTCATTCCTTGTATTTAATAAAGGAAGAGGGATGTTACGAACAGGCACTGCTTTAAACAGTCCATGTTTAAAATATGTCAGTGTTTTTTTATTATTTAGAAATTTATATTTTGTGTGTAGAAGCTTGTAAACAATATATTTGTAAACTCTCTCTCTGCTCTATGTCCCTTTCTCTCTTGTCTATCTTTCTGGTCTATCTTTCTGGTCTCTACCACTCTGAGGTATCTCTGGGCTCCATCTCTGATCTCTGCTTTTATGTCTCTTCCTCTGGTCTCGATCTCTGATCTCTCTCTGTTCTCTCCCTCTAGTAAGTAAGTAAGTAAGTAAATCTTTATTAACATACCGCCTTTTCACTGCAGATCAGAGTCTCAAAGCGGTTTACAATTGTTATTTTTTGGGCCTCTGGTCTCTCCCGGGTCTATCTCTGGTCGATCTCTGGTCGATCTCTGAAGAACTGGCTCTGCTTTAAGACATGTCCATGTTTGTATTTAGCTAACATTACCTTGATAACTTTCTAAACAGACTGTCTTATTTAATCCTCCCCTGCGCACTGCACGGAATGGTACAACCGGGAAGTCTCCACTGTTTGGGGAAAAAACCGTAAACAAACGCCTTGTCGCTAACTGGACAGCTGCTCTGGGTTCGCGTCTGCAGAGATTTGGAGTTATAGCGTTGTTCAAATCCACATTTCTCTCACTTCCCTCCGTGTCTGACTCTGGACATGTCTGAGTTCCTCCTGCTGGTCTTGATTCTGGTGCTGGTCGCCTGTATATTCGTGACTATAGCGGCGTTCGTGATATACTCCGGGCTGCTGGCGGACGTGGTGATAAAAACGGGATCTCCTCCGGTTAAAAACGTCACCATCGCATACAAGTTTAAGCAGGGCTCCTACAGAGACACCGGTGCGGCTTATACAGAGTCCTGCAGCATTGCACCCAAACTGAGCAGCATCGCGATCTTCTACGATGACCCCAAAGAGGTGAGTGCATACGTTTCTTATACATTTATTAATTTAATACCAATGTTTCACATTTCATAATGAAGAAAGGAGTCATAGTGCCCTGTTGCTTACGTTGCATTTGACCTAATTGATTTCCAAAAGCGATTATATTGCATTGGTTTTCATATTCAATCACTTCATACAAGGTTGTGGATAATTATTATTATTGTACATAGGGAGCGGGATGACCAATGTCCTTAGACCCTCCTGCACTTCAGGAAGGCTCATATTGAGAGAGGGATCCACTCCCACGTATGGACAGGCTGAAAACCAGGAGTAAGACTGCAGATCCAGGACTGAGGCTGCAGATCCAGGACTGAGGCTGTAGATCCAGGACTGAGGCTGTAGATCCAGGACTGAGGCTGTAGATCCAGGACAGAGGCTGTAGAATCAGGACTGAGGCTGTATATCCAGGACTGAGGCTGTATATCCAGGACTGAGGCTGTATATCCAGGACTGAGGCTGTAGATCCAGGACAGAGGCTGTGGATCCTGGATTGAGGCTGTGGATCCAGGACTGAGGCTGTGGATCCAGGACTGAGGCTGTGGATCCAGGACTGAGGCTGTAGATCCAGGACTGAGGCTGTAGATCCAGGATTGAGGCCGTAGAATCAGATCTCGGACTGAGGCCATAGAACCAGGACTGAGGCCGTAGATCCAAGACTGAGGCCATAGATCCAAGACTGAGGCCGTAGATCCAAGACTGAGACCGTAAATCCTGGACAGAAGTTAAAAAGGGGAATTTTGGGAGTCATCAATTAATTATAATGTAATAAAATTGTATCATACCCAAGCATAAATATGAAAATAAGTCATGAGAAAACATCGTAAAATATTTTTACCAGACATTTCAACACATTTATCTGAACTTAGAACAAGTTTTAATTATTTCCTTGAGCAATCATTTGTTTCCTGGAAGAACAAAAACAGGAAGTGGAATGAGCTTAAAAACATATTTCAGCCACATGAGGTCGCTATGCTGTCTTATTTAGCTTGCAATCTACTAGATGTTTACGTTTGTATATGATATTTAAAATGTGAACATTTAATTCATATATTTTCCCATATTATCATCAAAACTTTTATTTAGTCCACAGTACTGTCAAATGTGCCTTCAATAGTCTTGTGCTTCGGGCTTAAAAGTTTCTCAGTTCTTCTAGAATCCTCGTAAATGTGATGGAAGGACAAGGCCAGTAGGGGGCGTGGTCTCAATGGCAGTCTGCTATAAGTGGGGGCGGGTCCTAGCTCTAAGGGTCCGTGACCTTGTGCGCCGACATGCTTTGTAATCTGACTCCTTGCCGGTGGCAACGTACCCGGAAAAAGAATTATCCAATACATTTATATGCTGCCTTTTTTCCTCTCAAAAACTGCGTTACTGCCTGGTCCAAATGTTGGCTCTTGACTCAACGCTACGTTCCACATGCGTGTCAATGCTGAAGGGGGGGGGGTTGGTGTTTTTGGACCAGCCTAGTTAAGCCTCTGTGGACTTTTGAATGCAATCGTTAAATGAATGGCTCGTGCAGGCTGCTGCATGAGCAAATGTGTTTTTTCACAATTGAAAAAATAAATTGGCTTATGAAAAGCCTGTTGATGATATTGGCTTCAGTGTGTGTTTGAGCTCAATATCTGTCTTTTTATGTTGTGCATTTTGTGCTATTCTTAACTTATCTTGTGTTGTCTGCTCCTCATCTTACTGTTCTGTAACTCAAATGTATCTACATCTTAATCCAATTCCCTGTGCTGCTCAAAACAATTGCCCCTGATGGGATGTATAAAGTAGTCTGAATCTGGATCTGAATATGGAATTTTGTGGTCATGGGATCTGGTATCATAGAGTTTGACCAGTACACAAGATAAAGCTGGAGTTCCTTGTGTATAATGTGCGTTTTACCCGTTACATAACAGTGGATTGCTTATCTGTAGTTACGGCGCTGACCTGGTCATGCTGGAACGGGTCACGCAGCAGCTGAGAAGAGACTGCCGTGGATCTGATTCATAACATGCAAAGAAATGCTTCAATCTGATGTTGAGCAGAATTCAAAGTTGAAGTGAGATACGTATACAGTGCATGCATACAGCAGGATATTTATTACTGTATGTAGTGGAAAGGCAAGGAAAGTTTGTTAATATAGCACAGTTCATACATAAGGCAACTTAAAGTGCTTAACAAATTTAACCTGAAAATTAAAACCAAGTAAGGAAACACACAATGGCCTCTGACTTTCTACTGATGTATGAGGCCTGTAACCCTGTTTTGGATCTATACTGAGGCCTCTAACTCTGTTTTGGATCTGCTCGAAATGAATCAATAAATTAAATGAAATGATCTATACTAGTGCCTCTAACCTCTTATTGATGTATAGATGGATAGATAGATAGATAGATAGATACTTTATTGATCCCTGTAGGAGAAATTCAGATGTCCAGTAGCAGTAACTTAATTCTACGAAGTAAAAAATTGTCATTATCAGCAACAGCCCTTCAGGTCACAGCAGCAGAGGTGGAGTAGCCTCTGGGTGGAGCAGGACTGGTCACCAGGTGGAGTAGCCGCTTGGTTCGGACCATTTTCTCTGCTCTTGTCCAAAGTAAAATGTTAAATGCTTCATTAGCATTTTTCAAAAAGTTAGCATTCCTCCAGTGGATTTTCACCTGATACGCTTGAGTCGGACCATGAATCCTCTCCGCTCTGGTCTGGACCAGTGTAAAACCATGAACACTGTACTGCACCAACATCTCAGGCAGCAAAAAAGCAAGAAAAATACAAATTCAAAAGCACAAAACAACAACTGTTTCAGAGCTACTTAAGACTTGCAGCCGTTTTCCAGCACATTCAAAAGACAACTTTTGAATATACTGGGGCTGTGAGATTTCATAACACTTTTAAGCAACTTTTGTTAAAGTTAAACTCATCATTCTATCAATGTGCAGAAGCCAGTACTTTTCCCTTGTTTTGTCTATCTGAAGGCCAAGCTACATGGCACCGTGGAAGCTGCTGATTGGAGGACTCCATGCCTCCGCTCTGTATAATACACTTGCATTCTATTGTTTCTGTGATCGTGTGTTTTGTTCGTGCTGTCTCTACCATCGACAATAAAACATGTCTTCTGTCGGAATTTATGACACGATCCCAGACTTTGTCATCTTCTTCAGGTGGTGGAAGGATGCGGGCCTTGTCTGTAACATCTAGAGAACAGAAGACTTTTATTTTTTTACACAAAAAGTGTTTTTTTTTTAAGCCAAAACTGAGAAACCTCAAGAGAAACCATGCATCTGGACCAGCACACTTGGACAATCTGCACAGCCCCTGATTCCAGTCCGGCTGTGAGCTGCTGAGACATGGACAATACCATCGTCCTCTTTTGCATGGACACCATTTGGAAAAATTGGATTACACAATTTGGACATAATTTGGACTGAATTGAATTGCTGAATCTGGACACTGAAGCTGAAACGTGTGATTGAAAGACACGTCACAGAAGAATTCATGGCTCGACACAAATGCAGCCTGAAGAAACCAACACGGAGAAGTGGGAGAGACTGTTTTCAAAGCAATATCTGGAACCACCATCGACTGATGAAGTTTGGTATTTTACTGAAGATTGTTGACAAGTTTTATGAAAGATCTGAACATGTTTTATGAGTTTTCTGAGTTTTTGAAGTATTCCGAGTTCTGAGTTTTTTGAAGTACCGAGTGAAGTACTGAGTTGATGGTCACACGTGAATGTGTGACCAGAGGGGGGAATGTGAGATTTCATAACACTTTTAAGCAACTTTTGTTAAAGTCATCATTCTATCAATGTGCAGAAGCCAGTACTTTTCCCTTGTTTCGTCTATCTGAAGGCCAAGCTACATGGCACAGTGGAAGCTGCTGATTGGAGGTCTCCATGCCTCCGCTCTGTATAATACACTTGCATTCTGTTGTGTGCTTTGTTCGTGCTGTCTCTACCATCGACAATAAAACATGTCTTCTGTCTGAATTAAAGACGCGATCCCAGACATGTCATCTTCTTCAGGGCCTCTAACCTTCTATTAATGTATACTGGGGCCTTTAACCTTCTGTTAATGTATACTGGGGCCTTTAACCTTCTGTTAATGTATACTGGGGCCTCTAACCTTCTATTAATGTATACTGGGGCCTCTAACCTTCTGTTAATGTATACTGGGGCCTCTAACCTAATGTATACTGGAGCCTCTAACCTTCTATAGATGTAGACTGAAGCCCCAAACCCTGTTTTGGATCTATTTTGGGGCCTCTAACCTTCTATTGATGGATACTGAGGCCTCTAACCCGGTTTTTGATGTATACTGGGGCCTCTATCCCCTACAGGTATAATCCTGTCCTAAGTAAATATTGGTCTTGAACAGACACAATAGAGTAACATTCTATTGCTTTTGTTGCGATTGAACAATGGTAACTGGTTCAAACTACCCCATGAAATGTCAACTGACGCTATAAAAAAACAGGTTCAAAAACAGCTGCATTTATTTGATTTTGTTTTCATTAGTGACATGTTAATATGTCACGGTTTTGCGTCTCTTATTCCCTTCCATTCACAAACAGGCAGTATCCCATAGGAGCAATGTTCTCCCCCTTACATACTTAACTTTGTCCAGTCCTTATTGTGTGATACAGGTTTTTCGTTGTGTTTTTTTCTCTCTTGATCTCTCTCTGTACACACTGTAATACTCGGCTTACACAACAGACAAAAGGCACTTTGAGACAATCTTCTCTATGGCTTTTCTTGCTATTGTTTGTACAATACTGGATTCTGAAAGTTCTGTAATTCTGTATATAGCACACTCACTATAATGTGGTTTACCTTTTCCTGGTCTTGCAGATTTTTGTGTGTGCTTTTTTACAAGGTGTTTCTCATGCACTGTGCGACTGTGTAGACTCCAACAACATCATATACAACATTATTATAACTGCTAGTATAACATGGCAGTTACCTTTTGCAGTCAGAAGAAAACTTGAGTTCC